TGTACTAGATATAAAAATCAGGAAAGTCATAAAAATAAACACATTACTTTCCCAATCAATGTCTAAGAAAAATTCATACCATGAACTCTTCATTCAAAAGTTGATTTTTTTTTTTTTTGCCAGTCATGGGCTTGAACTCAGGGCCTGGGCACTGTTCCGGAGCTTCTTTTGCTCAAGGCTAGCACTCTTCCACTTGAGCTACAATGCCACTTCCCGCTTATTCTGTTTATGTGGTCCTGAGGAATCAAACCCAGGGCTTCATGCATGCTAGGCAAGCACTCTACCACTAAGCCATATTCCCAGCCTCCAAAAAAAATTTCTCTTTGCCTTTGGCCAAGCCTTGATGGCTCACAACTATAATACTATCTATTCAGGAGGTTAAGACCTGAGAATTTCAGGGGGGTGGGGAGGGGGGATGGGAAAGGATGGGAAGGGGAAACAAAGGAGGAGGCAACAATGCTTGATAAGAAATATACTCATTATCTTGCCCATGTAATTTTAACCCCTCTATACAGTATTTTCACAATTAAAAAAAAAAATCTGAGAATTGTAGTTTGAAGCTAGCAGGGCAGAAAAGTCCAGAGGAAAAAGCTGGAAGTGGAGGTGTGGCTTAAGTAGTATCACTAGCTCCTCAGTTAAGCCCTAGTACGGGCACAAAACAAAACAAAAAACAAGGAGTTTGTTAAAAAAGTAAAAATAACTGAGGCTCTTAAGCAAAGAAGCATACATAAGATTCTTGGTGTGTCAATGTGCTTTAAGAATATTTCTTCATTCCAATGATGTCCATTCATTTAGTCAACAAATATGTACTCATAACCAATTCTAATATCCCAAGCGCCTTCTAGTGATTACACATCAGTAGAAATACTCACATTTGAATAGATAAAAACTTAAAAAAATCTTTGATTTCCAGTAAACACAAAAAATTAAAACTTCTCAAAAAGATGTTTCAACTTACATTTTGTTCCTCTGGTTCTAATTTGGGAATTTTGTGAGCCTTGCGCTCTTCAGATCTGGCTGAGTCATGCTTGTTGCTTTTTTTCCTTTTTTCCTTTCTGCTTTCATGCTTTGACTTTGTGTGCTCACTTGCCTGTACTTCATTTAAAAGGTCTCCACAAAGAGAAGACTCGAACAATTCCCTGCCATTCTGGATAGTTTTGGTTATTTTTAGTTTAATTTCAGGTGAGCCAGTCTTCTTTGGAATCACAGTTTGTGGTACCGAAGGAGGGGGTGGTGGCTGTGGAGGGGAAGGTTTTTCCAGAATTTCATGTGGTCTTGTGTTTGGAATTTCTGAATGGTAATAGTCAGTGGGACTAAAGTTTCTAACTGCACCAAAACCATTGGCTGACCCATTGGGATACTGATTATATGGTTGGTATTTGGTTTGAGTGTCATACATGCTGATCGATGGTGGGTAGCCATTTGTGAGTGGAGGAAGGTCTTCTGTTGTAGGTGGATACTGAAAGCCTTGTTGCAAGGTAGCTTCATACGGTGTCTGGCCACCATCTTCAACAATGTCACTGTTGTTATCAAAGGCATCCTCCTGACGGATGTTGGCGGAGTCAATGAGTTGAGGTGGTTGCTGAATTGTGTTTCCCATGATCCCTTGCATGAAAGAGAAAGAGAAATCCATTGTTCTGCTCCAGCATCCTTAACTTTCCCTTTCTCTCACCGGGCCTAAAATTAGAAAAGTGCAGATTAAAAAGTATTAATATTTTGAACCTAATTGTCATATTTAGATATAAACAAACATTAAATAGTTATAAAAGTAGATAGCCTACATAATTTTGACACGTAAGTATATTTTATCCTTTGGGTTTTTTTTGTTTTGTTTGTGACATGGTTGTAATATTGTAGCTCAAGTTGGCCCTGAACTCAAGATCCTATAGCATTCACTCTGCTGGAATTATAGAAGTAGATCATGATGTCTGGAAAAATTCCTGATTATTGTCACAACTTTAACAACTAACTTTTATCCTTTTTGTAAAAGGGCAAGATAGTCTTGACATTCTTTTCTATTTTCTAAAATAGTTTCCCAAGAATTTCCTTTAAATTCATTCATGTTTTGTCCAGTTCTTTATATTATCACAAAAACAAAATCTTATTTCAAATACTTTACTTACAAGAGTAAAAAGTCCTATTTCCCAAGGGAAGGGAGAAAGAGGAGGAAAGGGGAGAAAACAAGAAAAAAAAAAAAAAGACATACAGAGAACCCAGAAGAGCAAACACATAAAAGATTCTTCAGACTGTATTTTAGTGCATGTATGTATACCTATAGGATAACAGATTTGAAGTGTTCATGGATGCTGAAAAACTTTTCTACCGGCTATATGGTATTCATCTACACTCATAACAATTGTGTCTAAGGATGCCCAATTCTCTACATGTGTCCAAGAATCTATTTGTTTTTAATGAATAGCATTTACAAGAGAATTATCTGAAGGTACTTATAAAATGCACATTTCAGGGTCAGGCATGGTGGTGTAAACTTGTAATACCAGCTTGGAAAGACAGAGATTGGAAAGATAGTGGTCCAAGGCCAGCCCAGGCAAAAAAGTTTTAGCAAGATGTCCATCTCAACAAATAAAATGGGTGTGTCCTGTGCACCTATAATGCCAATGACATGGAAGGCCATAGGTAGGAAGAATGTGGTTGAAGGCCAGCCCTCATCAAAACATAGGAGACTATCTGAAAATTTGAGATTATCTGAAAAATTAAAGCAAATGGACTAGAGGCATGGTTCAAATGGTAGAGTACCTGGCTAGTAAACATAAGGCCTAAAGTTCAATCCCCAGTATGGCCAAAATATAAATAAGAACCTAACAAAATGCATGTTTCAGGGTCCATCTCTTAAAGATTCTAATTTAATGTAATTGGCAGTGGGGCCCATAGTATGAGCATTTCATTTTTATTGTGTCAATCCTGGGGCTGAAACTCAGGGCCTGGATGCTGTCTCTAAGCTGTTTTTGCTCAAGGCCAGAACTCTACCACTTTGAGCCACAGCTCCACTTCTGGTTTTTAGGTAGTTAATTGGATATAAGAGTTTCACAGACTTTTTTGCCCAGGATGGCTCTGAACTGATCTCAGCCTACACTCAGGCTAAGAAGATTACAGGTATGGGCCAGCACATCTGGTAGTATGAGTATTTTTAAGTCAGCTGATTCTGACGGACATTCTTCATTAGATCATTGCACTATAATCTTTGTATTTATCTTTGCATTATAACCTTACAATTACTGCAACCCTCTAAGATGATATCTGAAGATACTATTGTTATGTAGTAATATAATAATGTAAACATAAGGCTTGACAAGTCCACATCTCAAAATAAAAGATTAATGAACATGCTGTGTGCCAATGTATCATAAGGCTTGACAAGTCCATATCTCAAAATAAAAGATTAATGAACATGCTGTGTGGCAGTGGCTCATGTCTGTAATCCTAGCTACTCAGGAGGCTAAAATCTAAAGATCACGGTTTGAAGCCAGCCCCAGCAGTAAAATCCATGAGATTCTTTACTCCAGTTAACCACTGAAAAGCTGGAAGTAGAGCTATGGCTCAAGTGGTAGAGTGTTAGCTAGTTGGGGGGTGTAGAATAACCCTGCTACTCAGGAGATCTGAGATCTGAGAATCATGATTCAAAGCCAGCCTCAGCAGGACAGTCCATGAGCTTACCTTAAGTGGTACTGTGCTAGCCTTGAGCACAAAAGCTCAGGGACAGTGTTGAGGCTCTGAATTCAAGCCCCAGGAGTCTCACAGAAAAAAAAATAAAATTAATGAATGCTCTGTACATTATTTTACTATTTCATCTAGAAAGCTGTAGAGCAAGGGGGAGAATAGTTTTTTACTAGTGTACCAACTTCAATGAACTAACGGTAGCTATCCTGAATACTGTGCAGGATTCTAAAGCTACATACCACCATTTCAATTCTATGACTACTAATGTCTACCACCTTGGTTTTTAAGTATGATTTGCCACAATGATAAAGCAAGTAATCCAAAACAGCAAAGGGAATATGGAAATAAATGCTGAGAGTACACTTTCCAAAGTGTATCCATCCAATCATACAATTATTATTTCTTCTGTTGTGAGCAAACACAGATTTCTAAGTTATAAAATTCCAAGTAAGAATACACAGAAAAATCAAACTACCAGTATTTCTATATTGGGGAAGCTGAGAGGTAGGGAACAGACAGCATGCTCATTTCTTAGCATCTCCTATGGTCCAGGTATTTTATTTATTTATTTATTGCAGTCCTGGGGCTTGAACTCAGGTCTAGGCACTGTCCCTGTGCCTCTTCTGTGATCAAGGCTAGCACGCTACCACTTGTGCCACAGCATCACTTCTGGCTTTCTGTTTATGTGGTACTAAGGAATGGAACCCAGGGCCTCATGCATGCTAGGCAAGCACTCTACCACTAAGCCACATTCCCAGCTTATTTTATTTATTTTTTGTGCCAGTCATAGGGCTACAACTCAGGGCCTTGGTGCTGTCCTTGAGCTTTTTTAACTCAAGACCATTTGAGCCATAGTGTTTGGGGAGTTAAAGTTAATTGGAGATATATCTCACAGACTTTCTTGCCTGGGTTGTCTTTGAACCTAATCCTCAGATCTCAGCCTCCTGAGGAGCTAGGATTATAGGAATGAGCCACCAGCAACAGGCTTTAGGTACTTTATATATTATTTGACAATCCACAAAGGAAGCACTATGATTCCTGGTATATAAGTTAAAAAGTACACAAAGCTCAGGGGAAGAACTGGACTTTGCATAAGAAGAAGTCTGACTCTAAAGTACATGATTTTCTAGCACTATACCATTTCTGCTCCCTCAGCTATTAGCCTCTAGAAGATTCATTTGCTTTGTTCATGTGCTTTATTTCTTGACAACTGTCGAAATAACCACTCTAATAGCTACTATGAACATTCACATAGCACTTTACATGTAATCCTCCCAACATTTTGCAGGTATATATTATCTCTTATTACAGTCAGGGTACTAGAGGCACAGCAAGGTTAGAAAAATAAACATAGTTCTTAATCAATTGACTAGGCTTCATCAGCTCAGCAGTCAAGTTCACCCATCCTCCTAGCCAGCGTGCCACAGTTGCTGACAACCTTGATACATGTTAGAAATCATTACATATAAACAAATTACAAACTGAATCATTATCCTAATCTGACTCTTTGCAAAAGTATATAGCTCATAGCAACAGATATAAAAAGGGAATGTTTAAAATTCTGCTAACACACATGGTGCAACTGTTCAGGCAGAACTTAAGTTTTCATTTATATTTCCAATTTTAAGGCACATGAAAGACTGACAACAAGATGCATTTTTGGTTTCCCTAACTGTCATATACAAGATCAGTTTCCAGACAAGTCCCAAATAAGTTTTCCAAACACCTGTAGAGACTAGTTTCTGATACTTTTGATTAAGTTCCAAACACAGCCTTTTAGAAGTTTAATGCTGGGGCTGGGAAAATGGCTCAGTGGTAGAGTGTGTGCCATGTATGAGGCCCTGAGTTCAATTTCTCAGCACCACATATGCAGAAAAAAGCCAGAAGTGGCACTGTGGCTCAAGTGGTAGAGAGCTGGCCTTGAGCTAGGGACAGTGCCCAGGCCCAGAGTTCAGGCCCTATGACGGACCAAAAAAAAAAAAAAAGTTTAATGTCCCCTCCTTTACTTTTCATTTTACTTTAAACTAAGGTAAGAAACAACATGACCATCTTAACAATTACAAGAAGGATTCCAATTAAGAGTATTTTCATATTTGGGGTGGTACTAAGGATGAAGCCCAGGGACCTCAGAAATGCTAAGCACAAGCTCTACCTGAGCTGCACTTTCAGCCCTAGATGTATTTTTACTGAATATATGTATTTTACACTGAATATCTGAGACACTGACTTTCCTGAGACTATCAAACTTCAGTAATTAAGCTTGAAGAATCAACTGAGTTCTAATCTTGTGCTTTCCCCTCCCCGCCCCCCTCAATCTCATTGCCAGAATGTAACTGACAACTAAAAGATAAGTATATTTTTGAGTCACACAATGAAAACTGTAGCCTGTCCTTCACTTAACTTCCCTTTTAGACCACCCAGATTTGTCACTGCTTATGCTGTTTATTTATTTTTGGGTCGGTCGTGGGGCTTGAACTCTGGGCCTGGGCCTGGGCGCTGTCCCTCAGCTCTTCAGCTCAAGGCTAGCGCTCTACCACTTGAGCCACAGCACCACTTCTGGCTTTTTTTCTTTTTGCTTATGTGGTGCTGAGGAATCGAACCCAGGGCCTCATGCATGCAAGGCAAGCGCTCTACTACTGAGCCACCTTCCCAGCCCCTGGGACAAATTTTTGTCAGAGAAATAGAAACAAAATTGCAAACAGAAGTGGTTCTTCCATTTGACTTTAAGTTATCTTATCCCTAGAAAGAATATATACAGAACAGATCACAAGATTTTATTATTTTTCCCAAATAAAATACTTTTAATGACATCCAAGTGTTATATATTAATAGCTATAGCTATCTTAAAAAGTTTTAGCCATTGTAACATGGCAGTATTACTATTTCTGACTAAATTGTAGGCATTTTCTCATTTTCTCTCCATTTATATATATATATATATATATATATATTTTTTTTTTTTGCCAGTTCTAGGGCTTGAACTCAGGGCCTAAGCACTG